ACTCAATGTTCAACTTTGGCCTCCACAACCTCATACACACATGTGCACATGCACATAAGTGTGTCCACAACTTCACACACACGTGCACATGCACATAAGTGTGTACATACACACAACCTTCTATCCATTTTAATAGAGGACATTACTCCCAGATAATCTCAAAGGGCACAAATAAATCTTGGGGTTGGCGAGACAGCTCCACAATTAAGAGCACAGGCTGCTATTGCAGAGGACCTGGGTTTGATTCCCAGCACCCACATGGCAGCTAATAATTGACCAGAACTCCAGTTCCGCCAGACATAATGGACCTGTCCAGTTCCAGGGGCTCTGATACCCTCTTCTGACCTCGGCAGGTACTGCACAACATGGGTATACTTACACATGCAAGCAATACACTCATACACAGAAAATTTTTTAAAATATATTGTTTAAAAAAAATGACTCTTACAGGTCTGGGAAACAAGACTGAGGTTTCCCAGAGAGAGAAAGAATTCCTGCCTATGTCCCACTGCTTTGGCTCGTACCTAAAAAAGTGACATCCTGCTTATTATGAGCCTCCTTTCCTGAAACCAGATTTCCAACATGCTTAGTCAGCCTCTACAATGATCACAATCATACAAGGCCATGCCTTGTAACCTCTGAATTAATTCCGAATTCCCCATTTCCAACTCCCCCTACCCCTACTAGATCACTTTCTCTTACTGAATTCTAACTGATATACCACACAGTAAGAAACTGTAAAGTGGTTAGACTCAATTTGGAAAAATATTTTCACTCACAATATATAGGTGGATTTGCCTCATCCTCTTTTGAAACATAGTAAGATCAAAGAGTGGCATAGTGATAAATCAGGAAAATGACATATCTTCTAATAGATGCTTTTTCTGTAAGAGTCAACATAGGAAAGGAACTGTTCATTTATCTCCTTCATGCACAAAGAACAGTTCTGAAAATTCTTCCTAATACAATTTAATTTTCTTTTTTTTTCTGTTTTTTTTTTTGTTGTTTGTTTGTTTGTTTTTGAGACAGGGTCTTCTGTAGACCCAGCTGGCTTGGAACTCACTATGTAGACCAGGCTGGCCTTGAACTCACAGAGATCCTCCTGCCTCTACCTCCCAAATGCTGGGATTAAAGGCATCTAAATCTTTTAATGGTAAAGATTCTTACATAAATTGTACATAGTAGTACACACCTTTAATCCCAGCACTCAGAAGGCTGAACTAGGTAGATCTCTGTGAGATCCAGGCCAGCCTGGTCTACACAGCAAATTCAAGGCCAGCTGAGGTTACAGGGTACAGAGAGATCGTGACTCAAAAAAGATGAAAATGAAAAAAAAAGATCCTTACAGAGAATTAATATAAAATTCAAAGAATTTTGTTCAGGTTAATGACCATCAGTCTACTATTTTTTTTAATTTATTTTCATTTTTATTTTATGTGTATGTCTGTGTTGCCTGCATGTAGGTCAGTGCACCCATGTCGTGCAATGCCCGCAGAGATCAGAAGAGGCTATCGGATCCTCTGGGACTGGAGTTATGGACAGTTGTTGGCTGCCATGTGGGTCCTGGTATTTGAACCCGGATCTTCTGCAAGAACAGCCAGTGTTCTTAATCACTGAGCCATCTCTCCAGCCCCCAGTCTGCTATTCTTTTAACACTTAGAAAACTTTTGAATACCTTTTAGAAGTGAATTCTCCATGCTGAATTACAGAATGGCACTACAGTTTTATCAGTTAAGGGGTTAATTAAAGAATATGCCAACACAGGCATGTAGCTCAAGCACTAGAGAGCTTTCTCAGCATGCACAAAGCCCTGGGTTCAGTTTCCACCAATACATAAACTAGGTGTGGCACATGCCTGTAATGTCAACACTAAGGAGATATGGGTACAAGAATCAGAAGTTCGGGGCTGGAGAGATGGCTCAGCGGTTAAGAACACTGGTTGTTCTTGCAGAAGACCCAGGTTCAAATCCCAGGACCCACATGGCAGCTAACAACTGTCCATAACTCCAGTTCCAGGGGATCCAACAGCCTCTTCTGTCCTCCACAGGTACTGCAATGACACAGGTGCACTTACCTACAAGCAGGCAATATACACATACACACAAAAAAATAAAAATAATAAAATCTTTAAAAAAAAAAAAGAATCAGAAGTTCACAGTGAACTTGGGGTCAGCTTGGGCTCCCATGTCAAAAGGGAGGCAGGGAACTAGAGACGGCTTGGCAGTTAAGACTACTTACTTGCTGCTCTTGCAGAGGACCTGGGTTCAGTCCCCAGTACCCAAATGAAGCAGCACATAACATAACCTCCTGTATGTAACTACAGCTCTAGGGGATCTGATGCCCCTATCTACCCTTTGTGGACACTAGCACACACATGCAATACATACACACAGAGACCCACACACATACAAAGTAGATCTTTTTTTAAAAGTATTCCTGCTGGGCATGGTGGCGCACATCTTTAATCTAGCACTCGGGAGGCAGAAGCAGGAGGATCTCTGTGAGTTCAAGGCCAGCCTGGTCTACATAATCAGTTCCAGGTCAGCTGGGGCTACAGGGAGATCCTGTCTCAAAAAGACTAAAATAAAAGCATTCCAGCAAAACATCCACCTATAAGATTCTTGAGTGAGGAAAAAAGGCTAAGACAATTACAACTAGGATATAAAACTTTTCCAGAGTGAACACAGGCTGTTGTTATCCAAAGCATAGTACCTAAGAGGTACAGCTAAGACTAATGGCTTTCATTCTGATCAAGCACAGTTCCATCCAACTCCAGGAACGCAAGAATAGCAGCAGCAAGTTGCTCTATAAAATGGTATCCTTACATAACATGCTGTTTACCAAGAAGTGTCTAGCATTTATTTAAAACTGCCATAGTGGTGCAGGCATAGAAACCTGGTGAGGGTAGTATAATTTGTGGGAGACTTGCTTTCTGAGAAACAGCATGATCGTATCACAGAAGGAACACACACATACAAACACTAAGACACAGAGATTCCAAAGGAACAGAACCAGGATAAGAAAAATCAAAAGAAATCTATCATAAGAAATGGTGGAATGGCAACACAAGAAGCAAGAATGCAGTAAGAAACACAGCAGTCACATATACGCCCTAATACTATGTCTGGGAACAAAGAGGTATGAAATCACACCAGCCATCTCACACAGAACACAATGACCAACTCCTAGAACAAGAGCTCAGCTTAGAAAAATGGCATTCAAAGGTGACGTAAAAAGAAAATCTACCTTAGCTTCTCAGCAAACTGCAATACTGTATATAGCTACTTCTCAAGACATTAGGCCAATATTAAGCAAAAAGACAGACTCCACAGCAACAGAGAGCCTTCAAATAATAGTTGCCTTAAGTCAAAGATGACAGAAACAATTGAGGAAGGAAAGCTGGGAGTTTTGTTTGCTTTGTTTACTTTGTTTGGTTTTATTGAAGTGCCTTTGTTTTTGTTTACAGACAAGAAAATTTGTGTAGTCCTCAAACAAAATAACAAAGATGTATGACAAGAGAATGGATACACCTATTCAATGCCTTTTCCAATACATGAAAAATTACATTCTCTGATGAAAACAAATGACCCAGCAATACCACTCTAGGATTATACCTAAAGGGCTTTACATTCTGTTACACAGTACTTTCACAACCATATTCACTGCTGCTCTATTCACACTGGCTAGGAAATGAAATCAACCTAGCTGTTGATCCAACAACTGACGAACAGGTAAGAAAATGTGGTACATACACACAATGGAATATTACTAAGTTGCAAAGAAAAACAAAATTATAACATCTGCAGGTAAATGCATGCAACTGGAAAAAGTTATTCTGAGTGAGGTTACCCATGCTCAGAAAGACAAACACATCATGCTTTCTCTCATATGTGGATCCTGGTTTTGTATCTGTTATTTTGTATGTGTCTATCGATAATATGAGAAAGAATAATTTTAAAGGGAAATATCAAGCCTACCATAACTCTAAAATTTAAAACATAGTAAACAATTTACAGGAAGTGTCTAATACTTTCTAGCCTTCAAGAAAATTAAGTTATTAAAATTAAGTCCCTAAAAATCAGTCCCCAAAGATCTTATGAATTAGTGACTTCATCCTGTCATCGTCAGTCTGGCTGCTTGGAACAAGTTCTAGGCCTTTATGTGTACTTGTGAGAGTATGTCAAATAGACTATATGAAAGAAGTTAATATACTACATACTTGATCTTCAGTATAAAATAGTAATGAATGCACTGCATGGTATCTGCACTCAGCCACTCCCTCCTGCTGGTGTGTTCAAAGACACTGCAATAGAAATTCACTATGTGGCATCGTTGGTATTCCTGGCTTTGGTGCCTATTAAACCTGGTATTTCTTTTGATACACTTGCATATTTTAAAAAATAGTAATGAAAGACAAATAATACTCCAAGAGAGCTATCTGACAGAATCTGCTCAAACATAGCCCTTTGTAAAGAATTCAAATTCAGAGCCTAGTAAGAATCACAAAGGAGTCTCTTAAATTATCATCATAATGCTCCTCTTTCTAATTTTAATGTATGAACTGATATAATAATTTGCTTTCCCACATTCTAAATTATGAAGTCTAAAATTCACAGCCCCAAAGAGCAACAGCTCAGCAAAGAGTCAAAACCTGGGATAAAATATTAACACTTGAGGATCATTTGCTCAGTATATAGAGCGATAATAAAATCAAATTGCTATTTGTACTCTCTTGATAAGCAAGTGGAAAACTGATTTCTTATCAATGAATACTTTATCAATAACATTGAAGGTACAGTTTCTCACTTTATCCCCATTCTCTGATGCCTTTAGAGAATGTAACAAAGAATTTATAGTAAGAATAACAAGTAAAGTAGTAACAGGATTGAAGAACCTAATTCAGAGGCAGATAAAACTGAAAACAAGATATCCTCCAAAGATTTAAAAGCATGCTTTAATTTCTCCCTCCTGAGAGTTCCACTCAGCCCCTCTCTTCTTACCTTTCCAACTCAGCTATTTTCTTATCTTTGTCATTCTTCTCATTTTCCACCTCTTTCAAGATTTCCAAGAGGCGATCGACTTCTGCCTGAGCCTTGCTGGAGTCATCTTTGTACCTGGCAATATCTCTCTCCAATTGTTGTATTCGATCACTCATCTCTGGACTGGCTCTGGCTTCCAATGTTGCCTCATGTGCCTACAAAAAAAAAAAGTGTTCAAAGTCTATCCAATACATGTAGAGTGTCACTGGGCAAACAGTGGCCCAAAGAACTACTTATATTTCAATTAATAGAGTAGTATCAACTATTTAAATGGCTAAGCTTTGACTTATAAGAAGTTTTTATGCTTAAGCATTATTACCTGAAGAAAAATTAGTAATGAATGGAGAGGTAATTATCTTGTTTTACAAATGGATTCCTTTTAAAAACTATTTTATTTCAGAATATTTATAATGAAGCCAAAAGTGATCACAACCCAACTAATGCTTCACTTTGGTAAGATACATGAACAAGGCATTCAAGTGCTCTAAGTCTTCCCAAGACAGGTCAAAAGGCCCCACCAGAAATTCCCATTGGCGCCGGGAGTGGTAGCGCACACCTTTAATCCCAGCACGTGGGAGGCAGAGGCAGGAGGATCTTTGTGAGTTTGAGGCCAGTCTGGTCTACATAGTGAGTTCCAGGACAGCTGGGGCTACAAGGAGACCCAAAACAAACCAAAAAATAAAAAATAAAAACAAACAAAAACAAAAAACAAACCAAAAAATAAAAAATAAAAACAAACAAACAAACAAAAAAAAAAGAAAGAAATTCCTGTTGAATTTTCCTATAGTTTACGCTGATGCTGAGACTCAGTTCCCATTAACCCCTCTCCTCCATTTCCTTCTCCTATATGTTGCTTTATCAAACATATGACTCAAATGGCCTAGAGCATCTAAAATCATACAGATAGTATAAATGTGATGCTCTGAAAAATGGATTTTGGTTAAGAAATCGGCTGTTCTCAGATGTACCTCCCTAAAGCAAAAGTTCAGAATTTTGCAAAATAAGAAAAAAATGGAAAAAATGAAGTTAGAAATCAAGAACCATGCTAAGAACTAAGAAAACACATGTTATTCAGGATTCTGTTGTAAAAGACACCTAAAATTGTCTATACATTTAGGGATATAACACAGTTTTCAGAACTTAAGATTTATTTTCAAATTCTTCACTGTATTACTTTTCTTGTTAATATAACAGAATACCTAAAAAGAGCAACTGAAGAAAACAGAGGGTTCTTTTGGCTTGTGATTTAAGGGGATGAAGTCCATCATGGTGGAGAGAGACTATCAGCTAGGGCTCTATCCCTGGAGGTGGGAGCTGTGAACATGCAGCAGAACCTGCTACATGTTGGGGACAGATGGAAAACAGAGTGCTCAGCAGGAAGTACGGTCTGGCTAAAACCCAAGGCCTGGCCTCAGTCACCTACTTCCATCAAACAGCCCTCACTTCTTAAAGGTCTTACAGCTACCAAGCACCACCAGCTGAGGACCAAGTGTTCAACAAATGAGCCTGTGGGGAAAAATTCAGACTCAAACCAACACATTCATTCTCTTCCTAAATCTCTTCCTAAATCTCCAAACCCACGTGTGTACAATGAATGTGATATGAAGGCAAAGGTTAGGAGGATAAATTTTTTTCTTAATCAATAAACATCAGAATATAATGAATCTCTTCTAAAACATTTCAAAAACTGTTCAAGAGGAAAAGATAAATTCTTAAGAAAACATTTTGGAAAGGTCTGATGCAAAGCACCCTGAGAAGTGCTCATGTAAACAGTTAAATCTTTCATAGAAATAATAGCTATACTTAGAAAGTGAATCACAAAGTTTATTTGTTTAAGGCTCCATTCTTGGTGAAGAAATTTTTTTTTAAATTCTCTTAAGCTCCAGTTAACCTAGCCTTTAAGCTAGTTGCAAAATGTGTATTAAAAAACAATTCTGGGGGCTGGAGAGATGGCTTGGCAGTTAAGAGCACTGACTGCTGTTGCAGAGGACCCAGGCTCAAGTCCCAGGACCCATATGGCAGCTAACAACGGTCTGTAACTCCAGTTCCAGGGGATCCTACGCCTTCTTCTGACCTCCGCGGGCACTGCAGGACAAGGGAGGATGTACACACTTTTACACACATGTAGACAATACACTCATACATACAAAATAAAAATAATAAATAAAAATATTTTTTAAAAGAAAACTCTGTATCTCTAGAAGATAAAAAGAGATCACTGTTCTTCCCTGGGTGCTGTCCACATCTGAACTTAGTTTGTTGCACACTGTTTTGCCAGCTTTGGAGTTAAAGGAAGGAGGGAAATTCTTGTGGTGATCATTCTTTCATGGCTGGGAGAACACTATAGATAACTCTTTAAATAAAGAATGCCTAGAAAGCAAAGAAGAATGGGGTACAATGAGACCAAGAGTTATTTTACAGAAAGCTAACCATATTTATAGATCAAGAGAAGGAAAAAACAATAGAGAGACTGAAGATGCAAAGAAAAGAGAAAGAACATCCCCACTTCTCACAAAAAAAAATAAATAAATAAAAAGGTACTGATAAATAGGAAACAGAAGTAGGTTTGGAGCATGGGCAACAACAATAACAAAAACCAACAGACAAACAAACATGACCACCAGCTTCTAATCATTGCCACTGACATAAATAATTTATTGTAACTATTATGTGCTATAAGAAAACTAAATAAGCCGGGCATGGTGGCATACGCCTTTAATCCCAGCACTCGGGAGGCAGAGGCAGGCGGATCTCTGTGAGTTCCAGGTCAGCCTGGTCTACATAGTGAGTTCCAGGAGCTACATAGTGAGTTCCAGGACAGAAAAAAAAAAAAAAAAAAAAAAAAAAAAAAAAAAAAAAAAAAAAGCTAAATAAATGTCACTTGTATAAAGAAAGATGCCCTCAACCTCCATGCCTATAATCTGCAAGACCTTCCTAGACGAGTACCTATTTTCCTTGACAGAGACTATTATTTCTCTGAAATCAATGGACAGTTCTGCATTACTGTCTACCACTATGTTCTCAGTGCCCACCATGTTAACTGACATAGGCAGAAACTCATTTATTTTTTAAAAATGATTGTGCACAATGCAATGGAGATCATTTCTATTTGATTTTAAATAACCCATAGGGGATGGGAGCGATGGCTCAGGGGTTAAAACAGTTTCCTACTCCTCCAGAGGAACTTAGTTCAGCTCCTAGCACCCATGTCAGGAGGCTCAGGATTGCCTTTAACTCAAGCCCCAGAAGATCTAGCCTCAATCTTCCAGCCTCTGTGGGTACCCCCACATGCATGTACACAAACATCTACACACACACACACACACAGGCACACAAAAATAAAACAAATCACTGGGTGTGGTGGCGCACACCTTTAATCCCAGCACTTGGGAGGCAGAGGCAAGCAAATCTCTGTGAGTTCAAGGCCAGCCTGGTCTACAGTTCCAGGCTAGCTAGAGTTACAGGGATACCCTGTCTCAAAAAGACCAAAAAAACACAAATCTTTAAAATATTTTAAAGCAAAATAAAATAAAACAGCACACAGGAATGAATGGTAGGAAAAAAGAATTGCTGGGGAAGAAGAGGGAAATGATCAGTAATTAAATAGAAGTGCAAGGTTGAACATAACCCAGCTTTTCTTCTTCAATTATGACAGTTTTGCTGAGTACAGTCGGTATCTGCACTCTTTCAGGATTTGAATCACGTTGCTCAAAGCTCTTCTTGGCTTTTAAAGTTTCCATTGGTAAATCAGTTTTTATGCTTCCAAGGGGCTGCCTTTAAACGTGACGTGGGCCTTCTGTCTTGCAGCTTTCAATATGCTATCCCTGTTCTTCATGGTTAATATTTTTTTAATATTTTATTTATAATTTTATGTATATGAGTGTATTGCCTGCATGTATGTAAGTGCACCCATGTCGTGGGGTCAGAGGTCAGAAGAGGGCATCAGATTCCCCTGGAACTGAAGTTATGGACAGTTGTTAGCTGCCGTGTGGTGCTGGGAATTAACTCAGGTCCTCTGCAAAAAGAGCCAGTACCCCATATTTAGCGTTTTAACTATAACATGGTATGAGGATTTGTTCTCTGAACCTATTGTTTGGTATTCTGTGTGCCTTTTGTACCTGGAGAGGTATTTCGTTTCCTATGTTTGGGATTTTTTTCAATTATTTTATTGAAAATATTATCTATGCCTTTGACCTGAAATTCTTCTCTTTCTTCTGTGCCCATAATTTGTAGATTTGGTCTTTATATGATGTCCCAAAGTTCCTGAATATTCTGTTGAATTTTTTTTTAATTATCATTTTCTTTGAATGCATGATCCATTTCTTCTATCTTGTCTTCAAGCACTGATACTCTGTCTTCCATGTAATGTACCCTGTTGGTGAGGCTTTTGAACTACTTTTCATCATGAGTTACAGAATGTTTCTTTCCAGTTTAATTTCAGTTTAGGCTTTCTTCAATATTTCAATCTCTTTATTTAATTCACTTTTTATATACTGAATTGTCTTCATTATTTCATTTATTCTGTTGGGGTTTTTTTTTAGACTTGTATGAGAAGTTCATTGCTGTTCTTTTTAAGTTTATTCAGGTGTTTATTTCTTCTTTGACTTGTTTGAAATCTTTGAATATGTTTATAATTTTCCCAAATTCAATGTCTTGAGTTTCATCTAAGTTGTTCTAAATAGGAATCATCACACTTCCTGTAGCTTGAGCTGGGGGCCAGGTGGATAGGGTCCTAGGGAGAGTTGGTCTGTATATTTTTACAACTAATGAAAATTGAAACAAACGAAATTGGTAAATGACTTACCTTCAAATGATAACTGTTGCTTCCTTAAAGCCTTTAGCCCAGTTTGCATAATCACCTGTCTTTTATTCCAAGTACTTTTTACCAGAGCTTTTCTCAGTATATGTATTTTATTTGCTAATATTTTAAATTTTTTTATTTATTCTATTTTATGTGTATGAGTATTTTGTCTGTATGTGAACCATGTGCATGCAAGACCTACAGGGGCCAACAGAGGGCATCAGACCCCCTGGAACTGCGTTTATGGATGGTTGTTAGCCACTATGTGGGTGTTGGGAATTAAACCTGGATCCTCTGCAAAAGTAGTCGGTGCTCTTAACCACTGACCCATCTCTCCAGTCCCCATTAATATAT